AAAAATTAAAATCCAAGATGGCGGCCGCTACAAAATGGCGGATAACGTGGGTTTTATCAATCTAATCAATATGGGTATCAAATGAAAGGGCTCAACAATGCGAATACAATTTACTATGCAAAATTGAAATCTAAGATGGCTGCCGCTACCAAATGGCTGATAACAATTTTTTATCAATCCCATAAATATGGGTATCAAATAAAAGGGCTTGACAAGAAGAATACAGTGCACTATACAACCTCAATATTTAAGATGGGCGCAGCCACTAAATGGCGTATAATAATAAGATTTAAAATTAGAAATTGAATCTGTAATTTTGGTATAATTTATTTATATTTAAGTTTGGGAGAGCTATGCTTCGGCACGGATGGGTCGGCTCGACCGGAGTTATACCACGGCCTCACAGAAAACCGGCGTGAAACAACCACAACGTTGTATTTCGCCGTGTGAGTGAGGTTACCGGAGGCCCAATCCCTTCCCAATCCCTAAAAGGTCGGCAACGCATCTGTAACTCCTTCTTTGTTGCGGGTGTCCATGGGCGACGCTGATTGCTTACCATCAGGTAATCCGTATGCTCGTTTGCCGTCCTATCACATAAAAAAAGGTATCTGATTAATCCAGCCTGAATCCACCACCCACGTCTCAAGACTTTGTATCGTGTTGAGGACTGTGTGGCGTTAGGGTGGCTAAAAATGATACGTCGTTAGCGGTATACCACCCAAGTTAAAAGTTAAAACGCGCTGAGAACTGTATGGCATTAGGGTGGATAAAAATGATATATCGTTACCGTTTTCCCCTCAAGACTCAGGCACATCTTGTTGTACATAGCCTTGCCCCTTTATTGGACTTCTGGGGTCGACCATTTCAATATCCATTACTCATGGCAACAAACTGGTAAAAAAAATGAAAAAAATACAAACACAAATCTTAGTAACGTCCATTCTCTGTAAGACAATGGAACGTGCAAGCCAACGTGGGAGCCAATGACATCTTAAGTGACCGACAATACGAGTGATGAGAGGTGATCCTCTAGCGTATGCCATCCACATCTGGAGCGAGGCCATCGAGAAACACGGGGAAGCGCTTGCCGTCTCCCTTGACATCTCGAAGGCTTTCGATAGGATATGGCACGAAAGCCTTATTAGTAAGATTCCCTCATTCGGTTTACCTACTGGATTGTGTGTTTGGATCGCAAACTTTCTGAGGGATTGGTCCATCCGTGTGGTCATCAATGGTTGTTCGTCGAGTCAAATGACCATCAATGCTGGGGTCCCTCAGGGGTCAGTGCTCTCGGCAACATTGTTTTTGTTGCACATACATGACCTGCTTAAGCCCGGTCTTTTTGGGTATGCAGACGACAGCACTGTTGCTGAGAGCTACACATCCGGCGCACAAGCCAGTGGGTCACAGATCCAGTCTCTTCGAGAGGCTATGGTTGGGCACTTGAACTTGTCCTTGGAGGCTGTCTCTGAATGGGGCGATGCCAACATGGTCAGGTTCAATGCAGCTAAAACTCAAGCTTGTCTATTTTCTGCTAAAAGGAGTCAATTTAGTCCTGCTCCAACTTTCCGGGGTGTATCCGTGCCGATAACTGACCATCTTGATCTTCTTGGTATAACGCTGACTTTTAACAATTTTGGGCCATACATCGAAGCAAAACCTCAACTGGCTGCAAAAAAGTTGGGAATCCTTGCAGAGTGAAGGTGATATAAATAGTCGATTACAGAAACGACGGGAACAATCAGGTGGCTCTTTGTGGAGTAAGATCTTTGCAGGGACTACGTATAGAGGAGTTGGACTGCAATACATTAACGGGCAAGAAACCTTGCAATAATGAAGTATGAAATGAATTAAACAGAATGCGAAATAAAAACTAAAAACTAGAAAATAAAAATAGGTAAAAAAGCTTTTTAAGTTAAACGGTTTTATGTTAAACATACATTGCAATGTTTAAGATAAATGTACTAAACACCAAAAAATAATAAAATAGATACAGTCGTGGGAATTATAAACATATGCATAGACTAGACTAAAATAAAACCGTGGGGCACGTCAATTGTCTACAAATCGCGCTTTAATTCGTCGTTAGGTAGTTGACCCGCAGACGGTGAGGAATTTACTTACTATTTTCTTGCTCATGGAAATTCCAATAGTTATACACTCCATGTAAATATAATAAACGTACTACTCACTCACGACTATGAAACCCTAAAACTCGATTCCACATTCTAGCGCTACTTATAACAAGTCCATCGTTGACAGTTGAACAACTGCCTAATTATCTATTGTACATTACAAAACAAACATTTTAATAACGATTGTAGACAATTGACGTGCCCCACGGTTTTATTTTAGTCTAGTCTATGCATATGTTTATAATTCCCACGACTGTATCTATTTTATTATTTTTTGGTGTTTAGTACATTTATCTTAAACATTGCAATGTATGTTTAACATAAAACCGTTTAACTTAAAAAGTTTTTTTACCTATTTTTATTTAATGTGTGATAGGTCAGCTAACGAGCAAACGGATTACCTGATGGTAAGCAATCAGCGTCGCCCATGGGCGACGATTCGTCGCAACGACGAATGAGCTACGAGTGCGTTGCCAACCTTTTGTGGATTAGGGATTTAGAGATTTTTGGAAAGGGAACGAATTGACTATGAATGGGTGGGAGAAGGCATTTGATGACTATCCCTCTGAAAGATTACCTGGTGGTAAGCAATCAGCGTCACCCATGGTCACTCGTAATACAAAAGAAGTGTGTTATTAGAGATTTTAGGATAGGGGATTTGAGAATTGAGGGTGGAGGGGAGGATTGGGTTTCTGGTAACCTCACTCATACGACGAAACACAGCGTGGTGATTTATACTCATTCCTTCTTCGTATGAGAAGTTTCTTTTGCTCAGCAGTGGGCACTTATAAGCTGATGATATTCAGGTACTCTTCTACGGTGATTATAACTATGTACTTGGGAATCTTATAGTTTAGGATAAACAGCTCAATCTGATGATGCGATGATGTCATGATGTCAGGTGTTAATTCGCAGGCAAACACGAATTGAACCGCCACTCGACCTTAAGTGACATTGAATCTGAGTCATTGCTCCTCAAATACATTTTCTGTACAATTTTAATTAAATATTTTTGGTGTTAAAATGTCAAATTCCATCTGCAAATCAGTGAAGCTATATGCTTGTCTCATAATGCCGATTCGTATGGATAAGAGCGAGCAAGCAAAACCGTGGCACCTTAATATTTTCTACCAAATAAATCAATGTTTCAATTATTTCCTCACCCCCAATTCCAAAAATCTCCAAATCCCTAATGTAAAGGTCAGAAACGCACTCGTAACTCCTCCATTGTCCATGGGCGGCGCTGATTGCTTACCATCAGGTAATACATAGGCTCGTTCCATCCTATGACATTAAAAGTTACTTAAAGGATACACATATATGTACATATATTGTTCGAATTAAATTATAATTTTTTCAAAGATCCTTTCCCATACGTTTTTATTTATTTATTGGTTTACTGGTTTTGAAATCCAAACAGTAGATAATATAGTCAATGTTGTAATATTTCACAAAGAAATAAAGTGGCTTTTTATTAGGCAAGTTTTAAATGTAAGAGAGCCATGCTTCGGCAAGAATGGGTCGGCTCGACCGGAGTGATACCACGGCCTCACAGAAAACCGGCGTGAAACAACCACAGCGTTGTGTTTCTCCGTGTGACTGAGGTTACCGGAGGCCCAATCCTTCCCCTACCCCAATCCGTTCCCTTTCCTAAAATCTTCAAAACCCTATTCCCCAAAAGGTCGACAACGCACTCGTAACTCCTAAGTCGTAGGGGGTGTCCATTGGCGACGCTGATTGCTTACCATCAGGCAATCCGTTTGCTCGTTTGTCGACCTATCACATAAAAAAGTACTTGCTCAAAACTCAATAAATCCCAGAGCAACACACCTCTGCCTACCTACCCAAAAGCAATGAAGCGTTAACATACAAACAGCAAAAACAAGACAAAACTCACGATAACTACCATAAATAATGTCACAATACCTTTGTCTGTCTGTGTGTCATACATTCACATATATACATTTTTGCTAACCATACAATCACCATTGTGTACGGTCTGCAGCAATGTCGCATGGAACCGTATGGCATGGTAATAAGAGCGATTTTACTGAGATACAGAATTATATGTTAGGAAGGATTTACTACTAGATAAGTCTATAGGATAGTTTTCAAGGTTACCTATTGTGTTGGATAAATGTGTAACGAGCTCCGTCGAATAGGAAGTTTTTATTCAATTCAGTTTTATGCTACAAATTGTCTGTTTACCGTGTCCGTTCTGACCGACTTCTGGACGAAATCCATTACTTTTCATTTTGAAACAGTCACACATTAAATTACTATAGGATATTATGACACATAACTTATTTATTTTCTCCCTATAGGTACTGTAAAATGTTGCTCGAAGAACTAAAGTTATCAATAATGACAATAATATTATACCCTTAGGTATATTTAAAACCACGTGCAAATGTCCAACATAACTATTCAGTACTCAAACAATTAATTACAGTGATAACTAATTAATTAGCTTCAATTAATTAATTGCAGCATATCCCTGCAACGCATTCACGCGTACCTGTTACACTAATTGTACAAATTAAGACAGTACTAATTATTCTTAATGTAACTACTCCAATTATATAAATAAAAGGAGCATCGATACATGAGTTTCATAGTTACTAGTATTACGTTAAGACACATGAAAAACATGTTTATCAAAATATAAACGTCAAACCGCACAGAACCACCGTCATCCACAACCCATGGCGAGCATGAATCACTAGCTTGTACCGAGAAGCCTTGATCTGCGGCTACGTTATAAAACGAGCGGGGCCGCTGTACGCCGCCATTTAATTGTGACTGTCCGAGCGCACCGCACGCGTCGCGAGCTAACACTACCGAAATATTAAACAAACAAACAACATGAGTACTACCGGCGCGTCCTCCGTCCTCCTGTTCATCCTGAACATCCTGCACGTGGTGTTCGGGCTCGGGATCACCTGTGCTGCCATCTGGTTTTTCGTGGAGGTGCATAGCATCACCAGCCTGCGCAACACCAACCACTACCTGCTCGACTACAACGTGTACTGGCCGCAAGCCATCCCCTGGGTGTTCATCTTCGTCGGAGTGTTTGTAATGTGTGTGTCGTGCTGTGGCTTTGTCGGCGCCAAGAAGAAGAGCAGTGGCCTAGTGGTGATGTACATCGTGTTCGAGGTGACCGCCATCGTCGCGCTGGTGACGGCCGCAGTGGTCGCCCTCACCTGCGCCGACAGCAGCTCCACCGACAAGTTCATCCAGGACACCGTCTGGGATGTGTTCACCACCATGAAGAATGACCGCAACGTCGAGGCCGACTTTGGCAACATGGAGAAACGCCTGCAGTGCTGCGGCGCGTCCAGCCCACGCGACTACATCAACTGGCGCCGCGATTTCCCCGTGTCATGTTGCGACACCTACTACCACGGCTGGATTGGGGAATACAACATCGACTGCGACTTCACCAACAAGCTGGCCAACGAGCGCCACGGCTGCACGGAGGTGGCCACCAACTACACTCGCATCATCATCCGCGTGCTGTCCGGCGCGTGCGCATTCACCGCCTTCCTCGGCCTCATGAACCTGATCGTGGCCGTCACGCTCTCCAAGAGCATGAAGCGCAGGCCGAAGCCGATGCCGGTGCAACTTGAGTCTGAGAGTAAAAAAGGTTTACTGTAAGTTGACAAGTTAGTATAGAGGTTGTGTGTGCCGCGAGGTTCTCTCTCGAACCAGTGTTGAATATTGACTTAACTAGTTTTTCCTTTCACGTGAAGCGAGAAATCTTAGTTAAGTAACATGTAGGAATGTTACGTGTGTGCGAAGTGATAACGCAATACTAAACAGTTTGCGACAGTATTTCTTAGTGGAAGTATTTATTTGGTTAGGTTTAGTATAGAGTATTGCACATGAAAGGTATTAGCTTTAACTTTGTATCCACCGGGCGGCGGTCGCTCGAGCTTAGAGCTTCTAGTCTTAGACGCGACTCGACGCACTGAATGCATTAAATGAATGGTCCAGGCATGTGCAGTACGGACAAAGAGTTCGAATGAGTCAATTTAAGTAGCCTTAACTACGAGATAATTGAATCGGTTGTTAGTCATATAATGGTGCTCTGTCGCTCCCTCGAATCATCTTTACGAACGACTGACCTTTGTATCTCTTAAGCAAGACGGACAATCAAGATAATTGTTCCTCATATATTTTACATGTTTTGTTTGAAAATGTTGGCTAAAATATTTCATTAAAGGATTGTAATTAGTGCTATTATGTAGTAGTGTTTTATAGCAACATTTGCCGAGTGATAATTAATGATAATTGTCTTCACCGATCTGGTTTCGAATCTCAAACACAATACAATAACGTATTGTGGTTTAGTTAATACAAATGATGTTCTAATATTGTACAACCAGTTTCGTATTGAAATGGCTGTAGTGGCATTTGATAATTTTATATTTAAAACGTGAATCCGTCTCTTATATAAACTTTAACCTTTAAGGTAACACTGTTGAGTAGGACACAAATATTATTATATATTTAGAAGTTATGAAATAGCTATATTAATATAACGTTGTCTCACTCTAGCATTTTTTTATTATGATCTAAACAACTATGGCCTCAATGTTAGCGACTGGATAAGTTGTTAATCAAAAGGGTCTGGGTTCAAATCCCAAATCGAGCTTTGTCTTAATGTTTTTTCTTGAGGAAAAATTCAAAGTAGCAGCTCGAAGGTTGACTATAGACACATAAGGGAATAAGGTTTTTTCCCTTGATATGAATTTGTAATATTATAAGTGTATTTATGTTTCCTCCATGTAATCTGAAACATTCCTGTAAATTGTGCTAAGGAGAAAATTGTAAAGTTTTCAAATGATGTGACTGACCATTCAAAACCTTAAGTACCTCAGTTGCGTTATAGCAACAAATGATCAGAAACAACATTTGAAAACGTACAAATATAAACTTTAATAGCTAAACATTAAAGACTTGATTTGTTACGCAAAATGTTCTTACGTAATATTTATTTTTCTCTATGTTTATCACATCATCGTGAATTATAGAAACTCAGTTAGTTTAAGTATGTCGTGTAGGTACCTGTGGAGTAGTGGTCCAAAGATTAGGCCGGTTACACACCGGCAAGCGACGTCAGGCGGCCGTCAGGCAAACTGATGCCAGCTTCTTAGTAAATAAGTATTGATAGCGTAGATTTAATGTTCAAATTATGTTGTTATTTATAAGTGGCTTTGTGTATTTGCATTTTGATATTAAAATAGACTGGATGTTTTATATAATGATTTGTTTCCTTTTTTCCCTATACTTACACAATTTTTCATAATGACACCTAAATAATACGGTGAAAGTAAAATTAATAAATGAAATAAATTAAATATATATCACTAAATTGCAGAAAATAAAAAAAAATGCTCACAAGTCTTTTGTTTCACATAAGTCATTATTAAATATTTATTAATGAATATATCTGAGTCACACCGACTCAACACGTAACAGGAACAATAAATACATAATTACTACAATTGCTCATCACATAATAGTACACAATGGACTGCTAATCAGGTCAAATAAAATACTTTTTTTTGGTTGCATCAGTTGTGCTTGACAGGTGCGACTGATCGCTTGTGAGCGTAAGCTGCGCTCGCGCAAGGCAAGGCGCGGCCAAAGTTTATAAAAGTAGTTGCGTCAGGCGCACGCCTCTCATTCCGTTGTCAACCTCACGCGCGCGCGGACCTGCATCATGGGGAAAGACGAGCTTATCAAAAACGTTCTCTATGTTATGAACATTATTTACGCGGTGTTCGGACTCGTCACCGCCGCCACTGGGATCTGGTTCTTTGTGCAACTGACCGAGTTCGTCGGCCTCCGGAACAGCAATCACTACCTACTAGACTACAGGATCTACTGGCCCCAGGTCGCACCATGGCTGTTCATCCTACTCGGAATATTCATCATCATGATCTCCTTCTGTGGATGGTGCGGTGCCAACCGGGAGAGCCGAGGAATGCTCGGCCTATACGGGCTCTTCCTCATACTGATCGTCGTGATGCAGCTGATCGCCGCCACCCTCATCTTCGTGTACGTTGATGGAGAAGACACGGACCGATTCATCAAGGATACAGTGTACGATGGCTACTACAACTCGCAGTCCAACCCTGATGTGTTCAAAGCTTTCGGCAAGATCGAGCGCAAGCTGCGGTGCTGTGGCGCCAACGACGCGCGCGACTACAGGAGCTGGAGGAACGACCTGCCGCTGACGTGCTGCCTCGACAGTTACTATCGTGCTACTTGTGAATTCACCGACAAGGAGGCGAACGAACGTCTCGGTTGTGCTAAAGTGGCTTCAGTGTACACCAAGATCATCAGCTCCTCGGTGGCGGGAGCCTCGCTGCTCATCTCATTAGTGGAGATATGTGGGATAGTGCTGGCGTGGAAGCTGTTCCACTCGCTGCGGGAGGTGGAGCATTACATCACGGAGCGCAAGGAGGGTGAAACGGAGTGCTAGTTCAGTGCCACAGTATTATATCGATACCGCCGACCGATGCCGCTACGGCAGAGACTCGCCACGACTCCGACGTTCGCAGGAGTAACTTTCCCTTTCTAAGTTTTCTATCTTGCATGGTGTCTCTTTACTTCTGAATGAAGTTCGTTTCCTTGTCGAAAGGAAAGCCCGAAACCTTTGTTCTCTTAGATCTGATATAATTACATTCCACGGTTAGTGTTAATTCGCTTTAATTAAGCAATCTCATAATGTAATCGGTGGAGTCTCGCTCCGCCACGCCTTAGGTCAAGCCGTGCATTAACGGCATTACGAGTGAGTGGGCCCCGAGCCTAATCAGTCGCTTCCTCCTTAGCTCGACGGGTACCTGCCGCGAGCAGGGCCTCAGACGGACCTCAAATTGTACCTAAGACCTGGTGAATCTGTCGGCCTCACCCCACCAAGTGTCTTCGACACACACGATTAACATAGTTAGGTATACATAGCTCGGTTTGTAAGTTTCGTAAGTTATATTTCGCGTTAATAGGCGTCCATGGACGAGTGGAGATTGTGAAGCGATACAAGGCCGTCTATGAGAAAAATGTGACCTCAGATTGGGCAGTGGGCTGTGTGAGGAGTAGCGTCGCTGTGTGCCACATTCGGTGATTGTGTAAGTGTGCGAGGTGTGGCATAATGGTGGTCGTGTTGTCGCTCGCGTTTCTAAGTTTATTCAGCTCGGTCCATCGAAATATGCAAATTTTTACGCAAGACCTTATTGTGAGTGGATAAAGTATGCTCAGCAGAACTCATGGTAATTTATAACGATTACGACATGTTTGGGTTTCACAACATTAGCTAGTAGACGCGGCGCGTGTCGCTTTAGGTGCAGTATTTGTAGTAACATGTGCCAAGTGTTGGTATTTTAAACTCGCGATAATAATCACAATAAAGGAGAATTATATTTTTGTTTATATTTATAGATTTTTTATAAGTTTTTTTGGATCGTACTTCCGTCCTTTAAATAAATGAGCCATATTTAATTATTATAATAATTGTGTGTTTGTCACAGCGTGCGTACAATTGCCAAAGAAAGTATAGGTACAAACTTTCATTGAAAAAAAAAACGAGAATATATATTTTTTTGCATGCAAAAACAATTTATACGATATTAGAGTAAGTAAGTAACCGATATCATGATTACCGTTACAATATTTAGCTGATAGTTATAAGTTATTTTTATACAATACCTAATATAACAAAATATCATATAAGTCGAAACTAGTCTTAAGTCGTTTCGTTTTTAAATAAAAATTAAATGTTAAAATATGTCAGAAATGTATTTTTAATTGTTTCCTCATTCATATGCTAATTAACTTTGAATATCTTGTCGACAATCTAATATATTTATTTGAGAAGACCAATTCAATTGACATTTACATATTACATATTATAAGAAATATAAAAATGACGAAATATACATATATATATAATAAATTCAATTTAAAAAATGATAATTGTATTTATTTATAACCTTGCTGAGGATTAAAGTGAGACAATGTCCCTCTTTAGAGGGTAAATTAAACATTTCCGTTTCTTGGTATGTACCCACATAATTGTGACTTCCTCTTTTCATTATGTAACTTAGAAAGTTTTTGACTCACACATACATACCTACATACATAAATCAACCGTAACAGTCACCATAAAATATACACATATGCATATATTATGCAAAACCAATTTCGTGGCTAACAGACAGGCAGAATTATTAATATAATTATAATAATAATAAAAATGATATGGAAATAAAATCCTTAGAAATTCTGATCAGATTTTTTGCATAAAAAAATATCATATACAAATATTACTTTTGTTTTTTTATATTAATATAATAAATCTAGATAATTTATTTGTTTGTTTACTATCATTTAGACTGAGAGGGCTAAATAATTTAAATAGATTTGGCTTCTGAGTAGAAAGAGAACCATTTTTATGAAATAGATCGGGTAACGAGCTCACGGATTACCTGATGCTAAGCAATCAGCGCCACCCATGGACATCCGCAACAACAGAGGTGTTCTGAGTGCATTGCCAACCTTTTGGGGATTAGGGATTTGGAGATTCAGGGATTGGGGGAGAGGAAGGATTGCGCCTCCGATGCTCAAAACAGAATTTTTTTTTCAAAGGAAATCTCTGCTCCGTGTAATATACCTAAAATAATTTAACCTTTTTACCATATACAGGATACACATCCATTGACCCAATGAAACTTTCACCTAACCTGGGAACAGAACCCAAGAACCCTGACGACCCCTGACTCAGCATTCGCCCTTTCAACCCAACCATTGACGCATGAATTTCTACACGCGAGAAACAAAAATAGATTTCTATTTTCCAAAGAGTGAAAACTCGCTTATTAAATATACAAACAAACAGACTCGATATTATGTAATATCTTGCAGCCCTTTTTTGCTTCAACGACTTGTGAGAAAACTTAAAGGTATTTGTGTTACATCACTAGTTGTAGTTACATCACTATGCCCACAGCTGGGCAGCGCCATCTTGATTTAAGGTACTCTTTTTAAAAAGTGTGTCAGTCAAGTACATTACTGGTTGTAGTTTTGTTTGTTGTTCGTTCACAACCTTTCATTCAACCGAATCTATATTTTTAAAAGAGCATCTAGCTTTACTTACGGACAAAAATATTTCTTTTTATTAAATCATTTCAAATATAGACAATATTCTATTTTGACGTTTTTTAAAAAAGGGATGTTATCTATACTATTATTATAAAGAGGTAAGTTTGTAAGTTTGTATGTAGGGGGTAATCTTTGGAACTGCTGGTCGGATTTCCAAAATTCTTTCGATATGATAGGTACACACATGATAGGTAGATACAATTTTCCTGAGTGCTATAGGCTATAAAATATCACGCTGCGATCAAATACAGCCGAACAGCGGGTAAACCGCGCGAGAATAGCTAGTATAAATGAATATTTTTATTTTATACATATAAACCTTCCTCTTCAATCAGTCTATCTATAAAAAACGCGTCAAAATCCGTCAGTCCGCGTCAGTTTTAAACATTTAAGCGTAAATAGAGATAGAGGGACAGAGAAAGCGACTTCTGTGTAGTGATAGTCTGTTTTAACAGAGTATTGTTTACAATGCGTGCATTGCCACTTTATACTAATTTTCGTTTTCTTTAAACGTTTTCCCACAGGATTTTCTCCTATGTCGTAGGTGAGTTTTCAAACATAAAAATTCACATACACAAGCCACACACCCAGACCCAAAATAACAATTTGTAGATCATACACGCACGTTGCACGGCAGCCAGTTGCCCAGCCATCGCGCCAGCCGTGCAGTCAAAATTAATTTGAATGTAGAACATATTGGGCAGAAGACATACTTACGTAATGTGCATACTCAAAATTGATTTTGCAATAGATACAGAAACAATTTGCATTAGCAGCATATTATATCGATGGCAGCAAAGAATAAACGGACATCTACATTTTTCGCAAAAGTGTTTTTTTTCAAAATTTGCTTCCAATGAATCCTATCTACAAGTCTGCATTTAAAAAAAATCGAATTTCATAATAGTGGCCAATATCTGGCACGTAAATGAAGACATCTACACTCGATTTTCAAAAAACATCGCAGTAGAACCGGACATTTGAATTTACCCGCCATTACTTCGTAACTTTGACAGGTGACAGAGACGTCAACAAAGACATCTGTCACTAGTCTCATTCTTCCGTGTAGTGGTTATGTTCTGGTGCCTTTTTATTAAATTCTTATAGTTTAACGCATTTAACCATAAATGAACCCATAAAATATTTATTATCCGTGAAAATGAATATCTCGAGGAATAAATTACTTTTGAATATGGCTCAAAAAGGGGTACAAAAAGAAATAAATGAGATATCGGATTTGTGCAATTTAAAGGAAACAATGCAAAATGCCGGCCAAGGTGAGTACCTGTGACACAATTATGTAATAAGATTGTGTTTAAAATGAAAATATTAAGGCTAGTAAATGAGATCTTAGCGTAAGTAATAAAATTGGTTTTGAGGTTATGTTGCCACGTAAAAACGGACATCTGTCTTTTGTCCGTTTATACGTCGTATTTTTTTCAGATGACTCAATTTATTAATTTATTATTTCTCGTTATAACTTGAATTTTAATACTAACTGTTCATTACCCTTGTCTATATAAAAATTATACGAACAGCTACTAATTATGCATTGAACTTTTTTTAGATTCTGATACAGAAAATGAATTATTGATTCAGCCAAGTGATTTACAAATAGAGATGGATGAAAATTTTGAAATAGGATCATTTAATAAAAGCAGGTTTGTATAATTTTGAATTACTATGTATATAATAGAATAAAGCTCTTAAACCAGATAACATATTTAATTTATTATGTTTAGCTACATTAACTTTAATGCTTACAGCTTGCCGCTTCTGGGAAATGAGACACTCGATGAGATCTTGGTTGATTTTAACGTGCAAGACAGTTATATACCTATTACAACCTCTGCTGAAATACATAATCCGAATGATAGTCCAGCCAAATCCATTGATTGCCATCCATCGCGCTCTAACACACCCATGCCTTCTGATTTTATTTTATTCGGAACAGAATCGCAGGAGCTGGATCCTATTCCTGAAGATAATGTTATGAGTTCATTTAGGCCACAAATCACTTCACCATCTATTTTAGGCCCTGATACTAGTGCAACATCATCAGCAAGTGGTGCTTCCAGTGAATGCTCTTCACCTTCGTCATCAGTTATGTCTGGGAGAAAACGACGTAAATTTACAATTGATGTTACAAAGAAAAGAAGGAAATGCAACAAAGAAAATTGGATCGATACAAAAAGAAAATTATTACAAAATCTTGGTAAAAAACACTTATCACGGAAAGGTAAAGAACAAAAAGGAAAGGATATGAGACCGTCGTGTGACAACTGTAAATTTAAGTGCGACACAAAAATAAGCGAAGAAAGCCGAAAACAAGTATTTGATTTATTTTGGGGATTAGGTAATCATGTCAAACAATGGGAGTTTATTGGCAAATATACAAAACGTCACATGAAAAGAAGAATCACGACTGATAACGAATCAAAACGTACTCAGAGCGTTCATTATTTCCTACCTTTACTATTAAGTGAAAATGACAGCACTGTAAAAGTTTGTAAACTGATGTTTAAAAATACTCTTTCTGTTAGCAATCAGTTTATTCAAAGCGCTATGGATAAGTACGATAAAACTACAGGTTTTTGTGAAGAGGACCGACGAGGTCGTCATGGCAAGCAAACAAAACTGCTGACTGAAACTGTCATTCAAAGCGTATGTGATCACGTAAAAAGCTTTCAACCAGTAGAGTCTCATTACACCCGCAAAGATACCAATAAACTGTACTTAGACAGCTCTTTAAATTTTAGTATCATGTTTAAAATGTACAAAACATGGGCTGAAGAAAACAACCTCACAGATATAGTTCAAACATTGAGGCAGTACAGGGATGTTGTTAATTCCCACATGAATGTAGGCTTTTTTATTCCAAAAAAGGATCAGTGCGATCAGTGCACTGCTAACAAAAATAACCCACCAAATGAATCACAAGAACAAATAACCTTTGCCAAACACATTCAAAATAAAAATGTGGCTAGATCTTTAAAAGCTGAAGACAAGCATCATTCTACAAACAGTCCTGCAAACATAGGAGCTGCAACATTTGATTTTCAAAAAATCCTTAACTCTCCTCATGGTGAAGTTAATTCGTTTTATTATATGAGAAAATTATCAATATATAACTTTACCGTCTTTGACATGGGTCTGAAAAAAGCCATCTGCTACATGTGGGATGAGACAACAGCTAGAAGGGGATCCAATGAAGTTGCTAGTTGCCTTTTCGACTACATAAAGAGAAAAAGCCAAGAGGGCGTAAAAGATATACGTTTATGGTCCGACAACTGTGGAGGACAGAACCGAAACCGCATAGTTTTCGCTATGTATCTGTATGTAGCGACCGTTTTTGGTGTTCGTATTTGTCATAGATTTTTAGAAAAAGGCCACACGCAACAAGAAGGGGATAGCGTACATGCGTTAATCGAACGATCCTCTAAAAATAAAGTGATTTACTCGCCTCAAGAGTGGTATACCTGTGTACGCTGGTGTAAAACGAGTGATCAACCCTATGAAGTTGTGGAAATAAATCAAAATGATATCTTGGATTTTAAGTCAATTCTTAATCAGTACAAATGGGTAAAAAATGAAGACGGTGATAAAGTAAAGTGGAATCAAGTACGCGAAATTGTTGTAGAAAACAGTCAACCCGATAAAATATTTTATAATATGATTTGAATGAGAAATCAGCCTTGTGTATTGACTGTTCCAAGAGGACAAGTAGACGCGTTACGCAAGGCAATACACTCGAACTTAGAAAAGCTTATGGTGAAAGTTTACCAATTACTACAGCTAAATACAAGGATTTGATGTCTTTGTGTCAAAAAAATTTAATCCCGCCTAGATACCATGACTATTACAAAAATATTAAACATACAAGTGCCATGTCAGAATCTGAGGCTGCTGATGATCTTGAAAGGGAAGAATAAGACGTAACCCTAGTAAGACAATGTTGATTATGTTGAGTTAATAGAAGGTTTTTATTTTTATAGCTAGTTAGTATCAAAGTACAGAGTAAGACAATGTTGGTTATGTTGAGTTTATAGTATGTTTTTATTTTTATAGCTGATTTATATCAAAAAGTGCAATGGTTGTGAATGATTATGTTCCTATTTTCCAAATAACAATTAAGAGTGAAAAAGCTCGTTAAGATTATTGAAACTGAAGAATAGTTTATAGTGAAGGCTTTTAATAATCATAAGTATAAATAAGTATAACAATCAAAGATGATAGTAGTTATCTACTTTATAATAAAAAAAAAATTGTTGATCATTCTTGTGCCCCATTATTATTAAATAAAAAATTGTAAAATAACGTGTTTTTACTTTACACTTACACCTTTACCTTTTTTTACCCTTTAATAACATAGACCTTTTGTATAGTTGGCTTTAATCAAGTTAAAATAATAAACGATCATTAAGTTAACTGGTAGATATCCGTTTTAGGAATATTTCTGAAACTTATAGTCCAAAGTATATAAAGACAACTACAAAATTTTACCAAAAAAGAAAAACTCAGTTTAGTATTTGGCTTAGATATTCTTTAAATATATTAAGAAGTATTCCTGAAGATTGTAATCTTTAGTTTATCAGCCATTTTAGGAGAGGCGGGCACTCTACGTATCACAACGTATAAACGGATATCTGCCAGATATCTTCATTTACGTCTAAAGATTTTCAAAGTATAAAAAGACATCTACATTATTTCAGTAAAAAAACAATATGTAGAATAAACCTCTTATATAGTCAATAAAAAACATTATTATAATGCATTATTCAAAGTTTCATGTAAATCGGTCAATAACTCTCAAAATCACGACATTTTTTTAGTAAATGTGCTCTCCTGTAAAGTAGCAATTTTGCAGATGTCTTTTTATTCTTTGCTGCCATCGATATCTATCAGAATCCAAGAGCTCAAACTTAAAATATATTTCTTTTTCTTCAACACTTGAAATTGAAGGCTTTTCGGCTACTTACGATGATAAAGATCTTTGCACTCAACTTAAGAGAGCTTTAACATTCTTGAGATATCTCACAGCTGATTAGACAAAAAATATCGAAATTGAAAAGGTGAGTTTAATAGAAAATGTTTCCCATAGACTGAGCTGAATTCTGTGCTGAAGGAGATGCACTCATCGGTGTACATAAGGCACTTCAGACTTTGTATAAATACCTGAAAAAAATCAGGTATCTTAAGGTTGGGTTAGCCATGCTTTGGCATGAATGTGAAGGTTTGAGCAGAGAGGTACCACGGCCTTACAGAATGCCACTTAGAACCCTTACCTTATATATTTCGCCGTGTAAACGAGGTTACCGTGGCCAAACCCAATTCTCCCCCCCCCCCCACCGTTATTAAACCCTATATGACTAACTTAAGCAAAAGGCTGGCAACGTATCTCCCACTCCGTAAGTTTACATATGGGTACCACCAAAGACTTTTGTTTTGCCTACCTTTTCTTTAATATTGTTTATTTGAGCGCGCTAATCCCAGGAACTGTGGGTTCGAATTGAAAATTTCTTTTTGAGTTTAATAGGCCATTTAATGAAAAAGGCGTTAGACTATAAAACATCAGGCTACGATCTCTAAGAGCCAAGCAGCGGGTGAAACGGAGCGAGAATAGCTAGTACTTATTTAAAAAATACCGAAAACCATATAACACTATACAAAAGACCAGGGAATCGTAACTGATTCATAATCACATCTAATAAACGAAGAAACTCTTTCTAATTCTAAGAAAATTCGCGGAAATAATAATTTGATCCGATGTCTCATAGTCAATGACTCATAAACTTTCCCGCGCATGCGCGTAGCGAAATGTTACATTATACTATTACACACGTGAGTGTCGCCACGTGGGCCACACTTGCGACACCTGGCGGATTGTTTTCCATTCCCAAGCTAACAGGAATTATTACCTACTTTGTTTTAACTTAAAACAAAACATCCGAGTTATGTAACTACTTCAATATTTTATCTTCGCCATAATAAAACCTCGATCACTTTCTAATTATAACATTTCTAATCGATTTTAAAGGTGATTAAGCGTTTTCTATTTTAGTTCTAATGTTTAATGATTAAAATGCTCTCCTAATTGTTAAAGTGATTTGTTAAGAAGTTTTCCAGAAGCATAATAAACATTGTTCTGCATACTTTTTTATATCATCATCGTCATCATCATCAGCCTATAAGTGCCCACTGCTAAGCAAAGGCCTCGTCTCATAAGGAGAAGGTTAGAGCATTAATCACCACGCTTGCTCAATGCGGGTTGGCGATTTCAAACTTATAATTAGAAATTATAAGTCCAGGTTTCCTCACGATGTTTTCCTTCACCGTATGTCAGTGGTGTCTAAATAATCATATAAAGTTCATATAACTCGGACAAGGCTCTTTAAGCAAGCCTCAATGACGATTCTCTTTTCTCGCCCAGGGTGGAGCAAGAGTGAATATCAGACTCTTACTGACTAAAAACCTCTCTGTCCCATCTCTTGATCTCTTGCTTCAGGTCGAGGCCGCTTGCATGGGCATTTTGGACTGTTAGACTTCAGCAGTTTTGTCTGCATTCAAATCAAATCAAATCAAAATCATTTATTCCAAATAAACCATAAATAGGTACTTTTGAAACGTCAAAATAGAATAGTAGTCTGTCAGTCTGTTCGTCAGTGAAGCTAGGTGCTCGTTCCAAATTGTAGTTTCGAATGGAGAAGAACGAGCAAGAAACTCCATCGTTACTCTTTTAAAAAAAATATTTGTTTTACAATTCATCAATAATACATTTTTTATACATTACTATACCCCTATGTGAGAACAATGCAGAGACACGTTGTTAATAAAAAGGAACAAATTATGGTCTATTTAATCTATCATTAAAATTTTAATCCTTTGTTGTCTCGTACATGGCGCTCACATATGCGTACTCACAATCCAAAAGAATGCTTCTATATAAACTCATTCAAGGTTTCATTAATTTTGAGAATTTTAATAACTACTGACTACATATTTGAGAATTGTCCAGTGGAGCCGAACCAACATGCTGCCAGGCACTCTTATCCTCAATATAATTTGAAAGTTTGTAGTATGCCTGTCTACATAATTCGCGTTTTATATAAGTTTTAAATTTTCGTTCGTTAAGATTGATTGTTCGTTAAGATTCATTATTTCAGCCAGTTGCGGGGCAAGCGCAACGTTCCTGCCATGGTATCAGACTAGACCAGAAGAATGAACACAGTAGGAAAGAACCTCAAAAAAGGTCTTCTCACAGTGACATTCGCCATCGTCTTTACCTACATAGAAATCGAAAAAAAAATATATTAAGAAAAAAAAAATCACAGGTAAATACAAAATAATCCTGGTTTTCCACCTACACTCTCATGCATAACAAGCCCAAATGAATCAAAAACAGACCCAATTACAATAATAATAATGCCAAAAATCCCATTTCTCACATTCTCATAAAACTATAAGATTAAAGATAACGTTATCTGGGCATTCTCCCATGATAACACGTAGTTTATCAAAGTCAATGTTAAATTGAATAACATAACTGGATTTGGAGTATTTTTTATCTAGATTGGCCTATAATTCGCAGTTGAGTGCCTCCGAACCCCGCCCGCCGCGGTCGCGTGCCCACCGACCGATGACGGGGCTCAAACACAATCGGACAATGTCAGCGGAAATTATATTACTATGTATTATATAAACAACATAATATCACGATTTTGTTAACTGTGGAGATATGCGGAATTGTTTTGTGCACGTTTCTGTTTGTACACGTTCTTTTCTACTTTCGTTTAAATCTTTTTTGTCTATGAATGTAATCGTTTTATTTAGGTGTTACCACACAGTAAGGTTTATTCCTGTGTTGTGGGTGTGTTTACAAACATTTTAAAATATACAAGGTGTGGGGAGCCATGCTTCAGCACGAATGGGTCGGCTCGACCGGAGTGATACCACGGCCTCACAGAAAACCGGCGTGAAATAACCACAGAGTTGTTTTTCGCTGTGTGAGTAAGGTTACTGGAGGCCCAGTACCTCCCCTTCCACCCTTCTCAATCCTTTAATATTCGAAACCCTTGTACCCAAAACGCTGGCAATGCGCTTATCGCTCCTTTGGTGTTGCGGTATCAATGGGTGGCTCCGTTTGCTTACCATCAGGTAAAACGAAGGTTAGTTGGCCGACCTATCTCATAAAAAAAGATCTTTAATTTTTTGTCACTATAAGACTCGGAATAACTATTTGTGGACCACATAAAGATTTTTACCGCACGAAAATCGAACCCACGACACGTTGCGCATAGTCATCATGAAAAAACGGAAGTATTTTCCACTTAAAGGAATTAGGAAACTACATATTAACATATTACTCACACTAAAATGTCTTTTTAATTGTTCTAAAGTAATTAATATGAAATCACAGCTCGAGTTTCTTAGAATACAGGTATATAACATATGTATACACACAGGTTTATATGTATGTTATTAAGTATCCGGTTAAATTTCTTAGAAAATGACTCATGATTCTGTTTTAGTTGTGAAAATATACTTCTGTTAATATGTAATAAATAATGGAGTTTATATGTTATGTTTTATTAAGTCAAAGTGTATTGTGTAAATAAAATCTTTTTTTGTGAGAGGAAAACATCACATGACTTCTCCCGCCCTAGTGTCAGACTCTTACTGAC